AATATTCATTAATGATTGCAAAAACTGATTTTACTAAGTTCCTGTCAAAAAATATATTGTGAGATGATATTTAGGGCAATAAAATTATTGTGTATGTCATTAAACATTTGCAAAAACAAGCTACTTCAAAAAGTTTGTGGAAAATGAAATTAAAATTTTATTATTATGATGCCAAGAAAACTCTGAAATCCATGCACGAGAGACCTTCATAAAACTCATGAAAATGCATATTATGATAAAACCATGCATTAATTTCTAAAACTTTTGACAACAAAACAAACTTTTAGTTCCCTTTTCCTACCAACCCATGAAGTGTCCCCATACAACCTAAGAGTGAGCCCTAACACACACCATGAGCTTAGAAGGACAGTGATGGGTTAGCGGGGCTGGTCGGGTGGAACAGTCTGTTCCAGTTTGCGATGTTCTCAGCGGGAGAGATGAGTGCTCTGAGGTACAAGCAGATGGAAAAAGTCTGTTTCTCCCACTCAGTTTTGCTGTGATATGTGTGAACGCATGTGCGTATGTTCACGTGTTTAGTAACTTAAAGTGTGTATACACATATAACTTGCTACACACACACACACACAAAAGAGAGTCAGAAATACCTCCAAACAGAATGGCGGCATTCCCACTATTTCCTTCTGATAAATTCCAGGAAGTACAGTAATGTGTTCAAAGGGTACACTCATTTATCAAGCTGCTTAAGCTAGCAAGCTGCCCACCAGCAAGGCTTTAACAACTCCCACTCGCACCAGGACAGAGCACTTGAAAGTCCACGTTTGCTCCCTGACACCACACCACCCTCACTGCCTCATGCTCCACACTTCTATCCACTGCCTCCTGAAACCGCTGCAAACCAAAGCTGCACGTGCCTGTAGCAACGCCCTCATGTTCTGCGCCACAGTGGAGTACCAAGTCCACCTGTCTTCTTAATTACCAGTTGAGCTACAGCTCTGAAAAAGCATATACCATGCTTATTTGTCTTGATTTAAATTTCAAAGAAAATTCCCACATGGAGTCCAGATGTTGCCACTGGCTTCAAGAAGGTGTCTCCTCATTACACAAATGTGGTCTGTGTCCAGAACATCGACATTATTTAGTTTATGGGTCGCTTAAAGTAACTACATCACAAAATCGCAATGGTTTGTGCCTGAGTCATCAATTACACAATGCCAATTTTTTGATGTGCAGCACATTTGTATAATAAGGAAACACCTTCTTGATTAAACGAACAACATCTGGAATCCATGTGAGGGCTTTTCTAGCATGTTGATGGTGTAGAAGCAAGCCTCACACGCTTGCCCGCCCAGATCCCCCAGTAAGCAGAGCACCGCTGGTTTGGTCCCTTTCACCACAGGGACTGTCCAGAGAGAGCGTGCTGCTCCTGCCCCTTCTGTGGCACTCACTCCTGTATCTTGGAACAGCATCGTAGGGGACGGAGCATCCCTCACCCACAGAAGAAACACGCTGGGAAACAGGGGCGTGATCTTGTTTGAGGAAAGGAACTTGGAAGGTGCCCTGCATTACAGACCTTGAGGTATGGCACTCCTGGGCTGGAAGTGGAATCCAAACCCGGTGGCAGCTGTCGTTGTGGGAGACAAGCAGAGGGGAACACAGGCATGGTGGAGCAAGGTGGAGTTCCAGGAGAGAGGACCCCGGGAACAGGGTGCATCAGCCGCAGAGCGGCAGCTCCCTGAGCCAGCGTTCCACTCCCGCTGGCCACGAGACTTGGCATTTCCACTGCCTGGAACTGCACTGGTTATTCAGCATCTGGCTGAGACCATTCATGGTCACCAGGTCAGCTATCTGGCATGAACTGATTATTTCACTGCACTCTACTCAAATCTGACAGGACTCACTTTTTCGGTTTTCAACAAGGACTTGACAATTCTGCTCTGAGTTCTAACACCACTAACGCTTCCCTGATGCCTTGGAGCCTTGGCCTGTTCTGACCCCACAATTACCTTCCCTTCACTTCTGCCACACGAGCAATCCTGAGAGAATCCAGCAGGTAGCGAGGCTTGGGCCAAGCATCCTGAGTGGCTGGGTCCTTGGAGTGGGACGGATGCCAGAGCCCCTCAAGCTGCTTGCCCCGGCCCCTCTTGTGCCCCTTGCTGCCAGAAGCAAGAATTTGGGAGGAGCACCATGGGACAAAGCTGCAGAATGGCTCTACACTACACACTGGTTGCTGGGCTAAAGTTCAAGTGCATTCACTGCCTCGGGTTAGGCGAGAACCAGCTTCACAGGAGCCACGGAGCAGGCTGCCACATCCCCATCCATGTCAAGTGAAGATGTGGAATGGACGGAAACAGCCATCGGAAAGAGCTTCGAGTAGTCTTTCACAATGCGGGGTCAAGGTGTGTGTATAAGCGGAGTGGAAAAAATACAGACGAACTGGCTATAAACTATGACCCAAATTGGTGCAGACATACTGACACATACACACGTTCAAAAGTGCCTCCTCCTTTTTCATAAACACGTTGATTTGGTCATCTCCACAGGAACTGTACTGTCGGCCATATTTTCAAGTGTGCCCTCTTAGTGGGACGAGCACGAGGTCTGTAGGTAGGGCTTGTTTCAGAAGCGGTTTGCAAGTGACAAAAACTACAAAACTCCCAGGAGCCACACCCCGCATCCTCCAGAGCCCGCACTGGTGCGTGTTCGCTTTCTCTTTCCCCCACTTACCCGGGCAGCGCTGCCATGAGACAGAGAAGGCGGAAGAGCCAGGATCACACTGGGAAGAGCAAGTCAGATCTTCTCAAATTCCTGTTGAGAGCCTTGGGCCTGAGGGGGATGGGCAGCTCAGGGAACCTGCTGCTTTGCTCAGTGCTGGAGCGTGAGAACCTCTCGCTGCAGACCAGACATGGGGTCTCTAGGACACACCCCAAGATCTGCTCCCGACTCCCCAGCTCCTATCCCAGGCAGCACAGGATATAGCAAGTGCATGCCTGGTCCAGCCCATGCTCCTCTTCCTGCCCTCTGTTCAGAGGCCAGAACAGGGCTTTGCAGAGCTGATGCTCAAATGCAGAAGGAGAGGTCTGGGCAGGGGAGACTCCGGGCTCCCCCCTGGCTGGCCCTGCATTTCCAGAAGCTGGGGGGTAGGGTCGCTCAGAGGCACAGGCCGAGCCTCCCCTCTCTGGGCACCCCGCTGGGCTAGCCCTGTGTTTCCAAAAGCTGGGGAGGGGGGAGCTCACTGTTCCATCTTCCCCTTCTCATCAGTTGAAGGCTCATTTCAGTTTCTCCCCTCAAAGTCCCAACGCTTCTGTCCTCAGACTCCCACAGACCCAGTACTTGTAAGAGCAGAACCTGCCTGGCAAGCAAACCACATGGAGACTGCAGGACGACCACCCGGAGAAGGGGGTGCACACGGGAGTCAGGCCAGTGGCCAGCGGAGCACAAGCTAAGAAAGCATCCACGCAGGAGGTAGCTGTGCTCAGCCACACTCCCTCCCTATCTGGGCCGCCAAGGACAATGGAAGGCAGAAGGGGCGCACACATGTGGTCCATGGCCACAGTCATGTGGGCATCCCAAGTGCGGCCTGTGCCCCCATCCCGAGGTTCCTGCAGGCCCTTCCAGAGCTGACGTCTCCACCTCTCCCAGGAAGGAGACGGTGGGAGAGAGACCTGCCGCTGAGGGGGAGAGTGGAGCCACAGAAGCCGCCATCGTTACGTGGCTCGCTAACAGAACAGCACGCAGCTAATTCTCTTGTCTCTACAGATCTGTGACATCATTCAGAGCCACCTCACTGGTGTTCTGCTTCATTTATCTCAAAGTTCAGTATGATTTTTTCTTGGACCAGGAGTAAAAATCTCTGGACTAACTTGAACAAATTGTTACCAGAAATGCCACTTGACAAAAATACTATTTCTGCATAGTAAAGCATACCGTATCTGCGTGGTGCTTGCCAAAGCAGAAGGCTGACCTAATCTGGAACACACTCCAGTTACGTGGAAAATTCAGTCTGCAACTAGAATTGCAGATGGAAACCACTGTGAGTGCCTGCACGCACTGTCCTGAAGTCTGGGTGGGAATGAAACTACGGGAGAGCAGCAGCCTGGGGCCTCGCGCCATGACAGGCTGCGTGGCATAGGAGCTATGGGGCGGCAGCAGCCTGGGCCTTGTGCCGTGACAGTGACAGGCTGCGTGGCACAGGCTGCATGGCACAGGAGCTACGGGTCGGCAGCAGCCTGGGCCTCGTGCCGTGACAGTGACAGGCTGTGTGGCACAGGCTGCGTGGCACAGGAGCTACAGGTCGGCAGCAGCCTGGGCCTCGTGCCGTGACAGTGACAGGCTGTGTGGCACAGGCTGCGTGGCACAGGAGCTACGGGTCGGCAGCAGCCTGGGCTTCGTGCCGTGACAGGCTGCAGGTGTTCTGTGGGATCCACACGGTCACCTCAAAAGCAGCTGACTTCATGCCCCGGCGCGCCTGGCCCCGGCCATCCCAGCACATGGCTGCGTCCCTCCATCAGCCTGACCCAGGACATGAAGACCACATACAGTCCCAGCGGCCTGCGCGGCTCACTTCAAGCAGCTCTGCTCAGTGGTGTGTCCACCGGTGGCTCCCCGGACTACGACTGCCGAAGGAGTTGCTACAGTTCACTTGCAGCTGGACATGATGAGAAAGCAGAAAACAACGTTCACGCACGTTCTTTACGCAACCTTTACACTAGACAGAAACATCAGTGACATCTGTCAGCGGCTCGTTTCCCTCACATAAAGGAAATTGCTCAGTGCAACCCTGGACTAATTTCCCCTGAACTAATTCCTACTCAGGTACTTGAATGGATGCTTCTGCACACATGGAGGTCGGGCTGCAGACACAGGCTGTGAGCAGGGACTGCAGCAGCCACGAATCCCTCCTCACGCTCCCCCGTTCCTCCGGAGCCCAGGGCCAAGCAGGAGAGGAGCGGGGCAGGTCTGCTAGGCGTAGGTCCAGGCGTCCCCAGAAGGCGTTAAGGTGGGTCCTGGTGAGGATGCTCCCAGGCAAGTGGACACCCCACTCAGATGACCCCAGCCAGAGCGCCCTCGTGTCCAGTCCCGTCCTGCACACACAAGCAGGATGTGTCATGCAGGGAACTTGCGTCCTGCGGGGGCGCCCCCATGTGCTCCGCCAGCAGTCTCTTGGCAGCCTGGGGGGAGCACTGCTGGGGGTGGCCCCACAGCGGGGTACATGGAGTTGGGAAAGCCAGGGCGGGTGGTACCAGGCTGTCCTCCCGAAGGCCAGCGTCCTGCACACATCTGGTGGAGAGCACCTCCTTCTCTTTGGAATTCCGCCACTTCATCCTTCTGTTCTGGAACCAAATTTTCACCTGTTGGCAAAATGATCAGATGGAAGGTCACTCATTCCCAGTAAGTTCTCCAGGGCACTCACACTGCGCTGGCTCTTACCATGCCCTCTACAGAACACTTTTTTTTTTTCAGATGCATTTATTTAGTAACAGAGGGAGAGAGACAGAGATCTTTCATTTGCTAATTTACTCCCCAGACCGCTGCAAGAGCCCGGGCTTGGCCAGTCCAAAGCCAGAAGTCCAGAGAACTTCATCCAGGTCTCCCCGAAGGTGCAGGACCCCAAGCACTCAGGCCACCTTCCGTTGCTTTCCCAGGCACATTCACAGGGAGCTGAGTCAGAAGCAGAGCTGTGAGGTGCTGACCACTACGCCACAGCACCAGCCCCACAGGGCACAGGAAGAGTCAGCCTCGCAGCCTTTGTGCCTGTTCCAGCATCTGAGCGATGGCTTGGGCGCTGAATTGCTCTCTGGATGTGGAGTTCTTAGCGCCTTAAAAAAAAATATCCTTCAAAACTGACTTGGCTCTTTTCATTCTCAATTATGAATGCTTTCATTTATCTGAGACAAGGAGCAGAGACAAACAGGCATACAGAGATCTCCCATCCACTGGCTTCCTCCCCAGACATCCCCAGCAGCAGCTGGCCTGGAGCTCAAGCCAGGTGCCCGACGTGCATGGCAGGCACCACGTTACCTGAGCCATCCTCACCGCTCCCCTGGGCCAGGAGGCCAGAGTCAGAAGCTAGAGATGGGGACTGGGCCCAGCACTCCACCGAGGACACATGCCTCTCTGCTGCTGGGCCGCTTCCTCGCTGCCCTGGGGTGCAAAGCTCTCGGGAACTGTTCACTCTGAGACGCTGTGCCCAGGAGTCATCGCAGCCACATGCTGGGCAGGATGAACTTTCTGATTTCACCCCTGCGGGAGCTGCCTCACACCAGGACACTGTGCTCAGGTCACTGACAAGGCATCCTGCCTCATCCAGCCCAGGCCCACACCTGCCCAGCTCAAGGGCCCAGGCTGCAGCCTGCAGCAGATCTGGGCAAGAGCTTCCAAGCCTAGAGGAAGGGTCGACTGCACAGAGGTTTAACACACAGCAGGCTTTACAACGATTCCAAGTCATGATCGCTGCCAGGATCCATCGAGCTACAGTAATCAGGGCCCACAGAAAACTGCTGTGATTAGGTGACAAGTACAAGGGCTGCTGGTCCCTGACTTCTTCACACTCCCTGAGCTCCTCTGTATCCACAGCGTGGGCCACCGTGCCTGGGAAGGCTCTGCCCACGGCTTGTGGACATCCAGAGGGAGGCTGACCTCCCCTGCTCCTCTCTGCTCCACCACACTCTCACCCCAACCGTGTAGTACCTTCCTACATGTACAGAAAAAAAAAAAAACCCACGAAGGGAACAATTCAGATTCAGGTGTATTGACCCTAGATGTCTCTCTCAGGTGGTCTTTGAAGATCTGCACAATAGTTTCTTTATTCCTTCAATTTGATTGGCAGTGTTGAAAGGGGGGCACAGAAACCAACCCCCACAAAGGAGATGACAGTGACCCTGGGCACAATGTCGTGAATGAAGCTTCCGCAACTCCGGGCCAGCACGCAAGGCACCCAGGATGCCGGGATCCAGTGCACACCAAGCCAGCTGCCTCCCGGCACTCCTGCGGCCCCCACGCAGCCCATGCTTCCCCTCCTGGCCACACCTGCGACTCCTTCAGCCCCAAGGTGGCAGCCAGCTTCTTCCGGTCAGCTTTGCTGATGTATTTCTGCTTCTGGAACATCTTCTCCAGCACCTTCCTCTGGTCCTCGGAGAACACAGCTCTTCGCAGGATGCCCCTGCGGGCTTTGGAGCTGGCGTCCTGCGTCAGGAGCGGCAGCACACTCTCCTCTCCTGGGGCGGGGAGGAAACAGAAGCCAAGCAGTGTCAGAGGAGAGAGGCCAGTCTGCTGACCCCAGAGCACACTGCAGCCGCCACTACTGGCCCGCCTGCCCCTCAGCTCCACCCACAACCTGGCGTGCCATGGCAGCATCCACGATCACAGAGCACTCAACACACAGCCAGTGATGTGAGCACACCGTTATCGCCAACTCTTCACGGAATGATTCCCTCAACATGTTTTGTTATTGTTGTTTGCAAACTCTGAATGCTTACCAATGGCAGGCCCCTTGCTCACATCCTAGGTGAAGTAAGACAGAAGTGTGCCATCGCCCCATTCACCTGTCAGCACCCCCAGGTGATGCAGCCTTCCTGAAGGGGCACATTGGGGGCAGGGGATAAGGGACCTAGCTGGGTACGGGATGCAGGGCCCAGCTTGCGCAGGCCAGCAGGTCAGATCTGAGCCCCAGAGGACGCTGGCTGCAGGCTCCGGGGACAGACACAGCTTTGTCTCAGTGGCCTTCCTGCATTATCCCAAGACCAGTCACCACACTCTGGGGGTGTCAGGCCCATGTCACTCACTCGGTCTCCCCTTCCCTGTCAAATAAATGAAAAAAAAACTCTTTAAAAATCGAAAAAAAAAAAACCCCAAAATGTAAGGAAATGTACATGGAAATAAGCCACTTGGTAACATTTCAAAGAATCATTATGAATGAGTTAGGAAGGTCAGACAACAGCAAGAATACTTAACAGTGTGATGTTTTTCTTTATCACCTAAAGATCCAGGGAGGAGGGGGAAGATAAAGTGCTCTGTTGTACTGTTTAACTCCTCAAACAGCCACAGCGGCCAAGGTCCCCCACGGGTGGCAGGTCACTCAAGCTCTGCCTCCCACAGGGAACATGAACAGGAAGCTGGAATTGAGGACCAGAGCCAAACACCAACCCTGAACACGGGGATGTGGCAAGCAGTTACACTGCCCACACCCTTCCTGCCAGGTCGGAATTAGGGAGAGCTCTTCCGTCCGCCGGCCAGCGCTGGGTCAGACCAAAGCCAGAATCCAGGAGCTTCTTCCCAGTCTCTCTCCATTGTGGCTGCAGTGGCCCAACACGTGGGCCATCCTCTGCTTTCCAAGAACCTAAGCAGGGAGCTCGATCTGAAGTGGAGCAGCCAGGACTCAAACCGGCATCCACACGGGATGCCAGTGCTTGAAGGTAGCAATTTGAGCTTGTTCTTGAAATGTGAACAGATTTCATGTACATGTTCCAGCTCACACCTAACTTCTTTCTTTCTTCTTTCTTTCTACTAAATCTTCTGTTTTGCTAATAAAACCCAATTTCTAGAATCAAGTCAGTTGCTAAGCACATATGCACGAAGCCATGAATTGATCTGCAACAGCCACATGCCACCACTTTCTAAAGCTTTTTATGTCACTTTCTTATGACACATAAGATCATGGCCATGCTCACAGCAAAGCAAAAACGCCAGAAAAAAAAATTAATAAGAATCAGGGCCCGACACAATAGCATAGCAGTTAAAGTTCTCGCCTTGAACACGTCGGGATCCCAAATGAGCACCGGTTCTAATTCCGGCAGCTCCACTTCCCATCCAGCTCCCTGCTTGTGGCCTGGGGAAGCAGTCGAGGACGGCCCAAGGCTTGGGACCCTGCACCCACATGGGAGACCCGGAGGAGGTTCCTGGCTCCTGGCTTCGGATCAGCAAAGCACCAGCTGTTGCAGTCACTTGGGGAGTGAATCATCAGACGGAAGAACTTGTCTCTCCTCTTCTCTGTATATCGGACTTTCCAATAAAAATTAAAAATAAAAATAAATTAATAAGAATCAAAAAAGTAAAAATAAGCAAAATAAGTTATTGTAGTATGATGGACAAACAGTTCCCATGATTGAATTCTAATCATCGTTTTATTTCCTAACAAAAACAGGCAAATGTTAGGGTGGTTTCTTCAAAGCGGGGACTAACCGTGCAGGCCACTGAGCTGTCACGGAGGGTCAACAAACAGAGATGAGTCCAGTCTGTCCTGCAGATGATCTCAGGCAGCCCTGTGCAGGAAGGTGAGCGCCGAGACCACCGTGCAGGGCATCCAGAACAGCCGGAGAAGCCATGGAGGTGCCCAGGGGGTGCTGCCCCAGACAGACCACAGCCCCAGCCACGGCCTGGAGGACAGCAAGCAGGCCAGAGGGACAGCGAAGTGAGTGAAGATAGGTGTGGGGCCAGTGGGGCCATGACTTCACACCACAGGGCACGGCCAGGGAGCACAGCAGAGATCAGAGGGCCTGGAGACCTCGTACCATCCGACACTGCCAGGGCGCGGCCAGGGAGCACAGCAGAGATCAGGGGGCCTGGAGACCTCGTACCATCCAACACTGCCAGGGCACGGCCAGGGAGCACAGCACAGATCAGGGGGCCTGGAGACCTCACACCACTGGGCACCACCAGGGCATGGCCAGGGATGCTGTCTGCATGATTACCATTTGGTCGGCCACAAAGAGCCTTGCCAGGAGCTGAGCCTGGAAGACAATCTGGTGTCCAGGTGGCTGGCTGTGTTCCAGGCAGGCAGCGAGGGGCAGCGAGGGGCAGTGGCCCTGGTGGGGCTGGCGGGATGAAGCATGGGGACTGAGGAGCTGCGGGCTGGGCTGGGGAATGCTATGAGGTGTGGGACACTTATCCTAAGTCATGCAGCCCTGGTGAACTTGATGTGAAATCTAACTCAACTGCTGTGGCAGCCCGAGCTCAAGGTGCTGCAAGCAAGCTCACAGGCCAGGGAGGATGGGTGGAGCCGCAGAGCAGGAGTGGGGGAGTGGCCTGGGCCTGGATGCACAGTCGGTCCAGCAGGAGGGCCTGTGCATCCCTCCCTCCAGTTTTGAGGCCTTGGGGCCTACAGCTCAGCTTGCCACACAGATATAACGACCACAGGGGAACACAGCTTCCTCCCCATTGGAAGATTCCAACATGGACACTGAATCCATATTTTTAAAAACTGCCTGCAGGGGCCAGTGCAATGCTGGCACAGCAATTAGTCCTTCACTGTGGCACTGGCATCTCAATGTGGGGACCAGTTTCGGCACTGGCTGCTTCACTTCTGATCGAGCTCCCTGCTGGCGTGCCCAGAGAACAGTGGGGAGCCCCCTGCACCCACATGCGAGGCCCGGAGGAAGCTTAAGCCTTCTGGCTCCTGGCTTTGGATCGACCAGGCTCTAGCAGCCACAGCTACTTGGGGAGTAAACCTGAGGACAGCTCTGTTTCTGCTCTCTGAGGGCCTCTGTCTGCGCCTGATTCCACAGCCCACGGCGCCCCAGCTGAGAGCAGTGAAGGACACAGGCCAGGAGGCACCAGCGCTTGTGGGCATACACCCTTGTTCTGCTGTGGAACACGGGAAGGCAGCCTGCACCCACGGTGGTCACAGCTACGCCCTCTCCCCTGCTGTCTGCCCCTGCAGCCTGGACACTGCCCACGGGAACGACTCTGTGCCTTGGGGTCTGGCGGGGAGGGGAGCACGGAGAACAGTTGCCCTCCAAGCCTCCCGCCCTCTCCCCCCCACCCCAAGGCAGGGAGTTTGTCACCAGCCAGGTGCTTCCTGCTCACCTTCCAGCACTCTGCTCCCGGCCGAGTCTCTCTCCTGCAGGCTGAGGCTCAGAAAAAGTCAAATTCAAGTTGGTACTTGAAGACAAAGCGATTGATTAGCCCATCTGCAGAATGAAGGCTCTTTTTTCCTGTTCCAGCTAGCTTCTCCACAAGCTGGTGCGAACAGCCCCAGGATGTCAAACCACCACAGGTTTCTGCACAAATTTTAATTTTGGCCAAAACATAACTCACCTTCCTTCTTTTGTACAATGGAAAGTAATCTTAAAGCCTCAGCGTAAAAAAATTGTTCTTAATAAAAAAAAAAAGAAAATCTAGTAAATATCTCAAATAAACGCCTTAGTGTGCAAATGAGAGGCTTATTAACTGTGCCCTGGTATCATGATTGCTTATACAAAATTCTTCACTGTCACCCTAATGCTGCTATTTCATTCTTTCTTCTGCCAGTACGGATAAATACTATAAAGAAGAACTGAGATTCATTTTTGAGTAGTCATGGCTCACATTGTAAGGCAGCCTCAGGAACCTCTAGACTGTTGTAAATGCCGACTGAAGGGGAGGCAAGCCAACCACAGAGGGATCTTTTTCTTTATTTTTAATTAATCATACATTTCATTGACTTGAGAGGCAGAGGCAAAGAGAGAGAGATAGAGCGAGATCTCCCACCTGCCAGTTCGCTCTCCCAACGCCCAGGACAGCCAGGGCTGAGCACGTGTAGCCATGCAACTTCCACCTTGTGCCAAGCTTAAGTTGGAACTCCACCTGGCTTACCAGGGAGTGGAAAGGACCCTGTCCCTTGAGCTGTCACTGCCTCTCCCAAGGTGTCCATCACAGGACTGGAACCCAGGACCCGAGCAGGATGCAGGCACCCCAGTCAGTGGCCAGAACACGCTGCCCCACGGCCAAACCAGGGCAGGGTCTTCTGTCCCTTGCCCATCTGCAGGGAAGCTGACCCGCACTGCCTGAGTGTGCACTTCGGAAGGCGGCGGCCTCCTCCCCAGGCCCACTCCAGGGCTCCGACTCCACAGGCAGAATCCACAGTGCCCCCAAGACACTGTGGAGCTACCCACAGCCTCCACCGGATGCTCTCACGGCAGAGATAAATGTCCCCTTAATTTGCACTGTGGTTTTCAATTACCCCCTGGCAGACCACCTTGAAGAGCAAGTAACAGGGTTCGCCACGGCTCCTATTTTCCTGTTTGCACTCAATGCATTCTGGTAAGTGGACAATTAATAGGTCACTCCCAAGACAGTGGTGAGTCAGTACGGTGACAGCCAGAACGGGCCCTGTGCCAGCGCCAGGCCCTCCTCCACTGGGCTCCAGCGCTCCGCCCCTTCAGGTGGAGGGGGCTCTAAGGAAGACGAGCTGGGGCGAGTCTATAAAGGTCGCTTCCATTCACAGCTGCGCTTTTCAGCTCAGCGCTTTAAATGCCGTCCAGAAAGCCGCCTGGAATGCCGGCCCCCGGGGAGAAAACACACAAAGGGCCGGCTTGACCCCTGCCCAGGCCCCCTCCATGTGAACCGGCTCCTAAGGTTCATCGGCGGAGTGAAAAATCGCGCTGAGGTCGCGTGTGGGTGAGGCAAGCCAAAGTGACGATTGGTCACGGGTCCGCTGCCCATTGTAGCGGGCCCCAGCCGTGTCAGGCGCCCTGTGGGAAAGTGCCGGCCCCTCCAGGGCTGCGCGGAGGCCTGCGTGCGGCTCATTAGCCGCCAGCATTTGCTGCCTCTCACTTGTCAGGGCACAGTGCCCGGAGCCAGGGCACAGAGCAAGAACAGCCACTGCGGTGGGATCCAGAGCGCAGCGCTGGGCACGTCCTGCTGCACTCCCACACACCCCTTCCTGCTGGGCACCGCGCTCCAAGGCAGCCTCCCCCGGCTCAGGCTGCTTCCCAGGAACTGGAATTCTGGAGGCGTCTGCGGACCCCGGGGTGAAGAACACGGGCGGTCGCTTCGCATCCTCGCCCTCTGGCTCGCCTCCCTGTCCCCGGTTGCGGCGCTGGCATTCGCCCCTCTGTCCAGGCTGCACTCCCTCGAACTCACCTCGGAACGTCATGGTTGAGATAGGAAGAGAGGAAAGGGCTGCTGTGACCGGCACACCACCAATTAGTCCTCCCACCCCATCCCTCACCAGGACACTAAAGCCGACCGCTCCGGTTCACAGAGGCAGCCAGGCATTGCTGATGAAGCATGAAGACTTACTTGGAAAAGCGGCGGGGGGCACGGGGCGTCGACAGGACCCACCGCAGCACGTGGAGCAGAAGGCAGGGGCGCCCATGAGGAAGGGCTTCGAAGGCGCTGCGGAGGAAGCAGGCGGGGGCGAGGGGGGGCACAGTTAGCCGCTACTCAACACTCCCACTGCAGGACTGCAGCCCCCTCCGCACCCCCAGGGAGGATACTTGTGCAAAATGACTCTGCGCATGCTCTGGTCACAGTCATCTCAGAGTGGCCTCCGGGCTTCAAGGAGCTGGGCAAAGGATTTGATGGGATGTGCAAGATGTGGGGCAGGCTTACTGCTGCATTTTCCATGTGGTTGGCATGGGCACAGAACAGAGGCAAAGCCTGTGGGTTACAGCACCTCGTTCAAGGGCAGTAGCATGGCAAGGAGAGTGCCTGGTACCTGCAGGCGCAGAGCCCTGAACCCTACTGGCGCCACTGAGGACCTGAACGGTTCACCTAAATGGAGTTTACATAGACTCACAAGGCTAGGGAACGCACATCCAACAGCATAGCATTGTGTACTCTGCTTACCATGAGACAAATACAATACTATATGCTCGAGCTTCACTTGTTTCTTTACATTTTATTTATTTATTGGAAAGGCAGATTTATAGAGAGTGAGGAACAGAATGACTGCCATCCTCTGGCTCGCTGCGCAGATGGCTGCAGAGAAGAACAGAGCTGCCCGCACTTGGGACCCTGGTGCCTGCAGGCGAAGGTCAGCCGGCTGAGCTATCGCACTTAAAGAGATAATGCCACGCCACTGCCCACATTTCCAGATTTCTCATGTTGGGAACAATACATGGTTATAACAAAAACAAGAGAACAAAAAGGGTGTTTGAGGTTTGAGAATCATATTTTGCCTCAGGAAGTCCAGCACCCTGAACACCCCACTCATATCTGTGGCACAGGAATTCCCGTCCATGCCCTGTCCACTGCCCTGTGCTGCTCCAGAATGTCCAAGGATGCCCACACGGGTGCCCAGGAAGCACGTAGACACACGTGCAGGTCTCATGGTCGTCAGACATTGTTCTGAAACCAGCACAGAAATGCTCGTTCAGCTTGAAGCTCAGCTGCGAACTGCCCAGTGAGGCCATCACCAAGGACAGCACTTCGTGCGCGGCAGGCCTGGCACTGGGCATGGACCATCAGCACCAGGGGCTTCTCACCACACAGCTCTTGCTCTCCCACAATCTAAACGTTCACAAAGTTCCTAGTAACACAGCCAGCAGTCTCTGCAACAGAAACGGGAGCCTTCCTGGGTCCTCCTACAGAGCGAGTGACATCAAGAATCCGGCGTGCCACAGTGCCTGGCTAAGCCCGAACACCTTCCCTCGCACAGGACCTAGAAGCCTACAACATGCCCGGAAGATAAGGGATTTTACTCTCCTCACTTGTATTCACTCGTTTCCTTTTCCAACCGCATAAGGACAGGTTGTTCTGATGTCACTGCACACCTTTTGGAAGAACCCAGTCACTTCAGACTTAGCTACAATCAGTTGACAAGCATCTGCTTATTTTCATCATTTTCTTTAAAGACTGTGCTAAAATAGGTACACTGCCTAATAACTTCACACGAGCCCACGGTCACAAGTAATTATAAATGCAGTTTTCTCTTGTAACACAACAGAACGCAGTATTCGTTTGTTTTTCAGCATTTGATACCTGAGCCTTTAGAAGAGTATAGCGCTTAAACTCTGTGTTACAGTGTGCTAAGTAAAGGTTTGAAAGAGAGACTCACCTGCAACTGAGAAATGTCTATCCCGTGGCTGCACGGTCACCAGCAGTTCTGATACTATGAGACCGTCGTACAAAGGGCACCTCATCTCTCTTGAATTACCATTGTACAGTATGGTGTGATTTGGGGAGATTTAAGTTTTCATTACTGCTATGAATATATGAAGTACTTTGAAAAATGGAAGCATATTTCTGAGCACAAAAGTTGCTGCCTTGGGCCCGGCGCGGTGGCGCAAGTGGTTAAGGTCCTCGCCTAGCACGCCCGGGATCCCATATGGGCGCCGGTTCTAATCCCGGCAGCCCCGCTTCCCTTCCAGCTCCCTGCCTGTGGCCTGGGAAAGCAGTCGAGGACGGCCCAAAGCTTTGGGAACCTGCACCCACGTGGGAGACCCGGAAGAGGCTCCTGGCTTCGGATCGGCATAGTATCGGCCCGTTGCGCTCACTTGGGGAGTGAATCATCGGACGGAAGATCTTCCTCTCTGTCTCTCCTCTCTGTATATCCGCCTTTCCAATGAAAAAAAAATAATAAAAATAAATCTTTAAAAAAAAAAAAAAAAAAAGTTGCTGCCTAGAAATACCAAATAAAACATTGGTTTGGCAGTTTTGTTTCCTTGTTTTTGTTTTGTTTTTGCTCAACATAGTGCATTAAAAAATAAAATCATACACCAGCAACAACACATTAAAATAGTGCAAGGTGCAAAGTATCCCATTTTAGTAAAAAATATTTCTTGGTCTAGCTGCACGGTCCTAATTATTGGAAAAGAAAGGATAAGATACAGCTTACTTGAGGCAGTGTCAAATACACTGTGGTCTGCAGATGCCAACCCTAACATGAAATTTAGCAAGAAAAGGTTGCACTTCAACAGTCCTAGATCATTGTATACTGTCTAAATACAGGAAAGTTATAATTACCTAAAAAACTAATAAACACGACCCACAGTGACAGTTCTATCCTTAACTGAAGAACTGGCTCTTCACGTCTGTCACATAGGGTTTCTTCATGTTTTAGACCACCGCTGTGAGGCCAGCATCGTGGCACAGCAAAAACTTCCACCACTGAGACATCCACACCCCCGTGGACACTGGTCCACGTCCCACTGCTCCATGTCTGAGCCAGCTGCTAACACATCTGGAAAGCAGCAGATGGCCCTGCACTCATGTGGGATCCTGGAAGAAGCTCCTAGCTTCAGCCTGGCCCAGCCCTGGCCACTGCAGCCATCTGGAGAGTGAACCAGTGGATGGGAGATTCCCTTCCCACAACCCTGCCTATAACTGTTTACAGTAAGTAAGCAAATCTTTTTTAAAAATCACCTCTATGACACACACATTGACACAGAAGACTGATCAATTCCTGATTGCTATCCATAAATGCACTTGATCTAAGATAGCTCTTGCAAAATCACTGTGCCATTCCGTTTAAGCGTCTCCTTTTCTGCCCCTCACCCTTCTTGTGCCTACTAGGATGTCAGGCAAACACCGGCCTGCTGGGATATGACAGGAAGTCAGCGCTCTCTCTCAAAGCAATGAGCAACAAAGAAACTCAAAACTCAGGAAAACGAAGTGAGCCCCTAAAAGCACACTCAGCACGCAGTAGCCAATGAGGCTTCACTCAGGGCCAGGCGAGCAGAGACCCCAGCAGTGCTGTCCAGGGGCAGCCCCTCCTCATCCACCACACTGGCAGGGTCCTGAGCAGGCCCTGGAAGCAGACGCGAGGGAGGCTCACAATGCGTCCAGCCTGGAGCTGGCTGGTGCCAAAGGCAAGGAACAGACAGCAAGACACAGACTGTGACTGTCCTGGCAAAGGTGAAGCGGGGAAGACTGGCTCTGAGGCTCAGGGGCCTCACATGGAGACTGCAGCTGGAGGACAGATACAGCTTCCAGGATTGCCCCTCCTGTGGCAGACCGCACGTGGGCCAGGGGCCATGGCACAGCACTGCGCTCTAGGACACGGCAGGGCAAGTCAGAACTCATATACACCAACATGCCTGGCTACCAGCCTTTGTGGCCAACTGCTGCACATTCCCAACCAAACAACTCGAGATATCCAGACCTCAAGTGGGGCAGCCTGAGCCCAGTGAGGAAAATCACACGTCCACTGAAAACATCTTAACTCGCCACACTGGGGCACCGTACATCCTAACTCATCTGAAGACCTAACTGCTTGAGCCCCTGCCCCCGCAGAGACACCGCACACAGTTCCCGACTCCCAGCTTCGGCCTGGCCCAACCCATCCACTGCAGCCAACTGGGAAGTGAAGCAGCAGATGGAAGGTCCCTCTCTCTCTAACCCCCCTTTCAAATAAATAAAATAAATCTTTTCTTAGAAAAAACCCCTTCTGATTACTTAGACTATTTCATGAAAATGGGGAACGCATAGCCTGCTTAGAGGCGACTCAGTCCAGCGTTGATAAAGTAATCCCATATGGGATCCTGGCATGTGCACAGCCAGGTCCTAGCCACACCCTCCTGCCCTGAGAGCCACATGGGTTACAGCTCCCCCAGCAAGCAGCTACTGCCCTGTGAGATCCCAGTCAGAACTGCCCAGCTGAGCGGATGACAAGCTGCTGGAGATGAGAGCCAGTGTTCCTTTCGGCCACTGGGTTTGGGAGTGATTTCTCAGACAGTAACACCCCTGAAACCAATGCTTCCAGCACCTTCCATGCCTTATCAAATTTATCCATGAGTTTTTGAAAAGCCAGATGCAGACCCTAACTCTGTTCACGTCTTACAATAAAGAAGCAAAGGCCCAAGCAGGTTGTGTGAAATGGTTTGAAGTTGGACAGTCAGCAATGTAAAGACCTTAACTTTGTATTTACACTTCAAAGGTACAGAAATGTGGCAAGACCAGTGCACAGAAGCATACAGTAGCTTCCCATCCGCCCGGCTGCCCACTTGGCTCTGCAGCAGCCTCCTCCGGACGTGCCTGGATCTGCCCCCTGGGTGACTCCCTGCCTCTTCAGCTGCGTCACAGCAAGGACAGTCCTGGGGACTTGCACCCACGTCACCACTGCCTGCTGCACTGCTGACAGTCACTTGAGAAGAACAGGGGGAGGCCAGCATGGCAGGGTGCCTGAACACATGCGAGAGGAGACAAAACCCACCTCACTGCCACATCTTCATGAACAAGCAAGCAATGAACTATCCGGCAACAAACACCAAAAAAACTCAAACCACTTTCCTTTCATTATCATTTCTTTTTCCTTTTCTGAAAGAAAAGTCTAAAATGTTTGGAAGGCTTTTTGATCTTTGACTTCAGAGAGAATTTTAGTGCCCCACGCTTACTGCCCGCAGAGTGCGCCCCGAAAGAGAGCACACAGCTGCCTAAGCGGACATGATCAGTCAGGGTGACTGTATAAGTGATGCATCGTTCGGCAACGCCAAGTTCAGCGCTGACTGCAGGCTGAAACGATGAAAGGGAGAGGTTTCATTAAAAGTGGAAACATTACTGCAAGTAAAATAAAATATTCTGGAATAAAATATACAAGGATCTGGTAAGCATATTAGGTGTTAGGGCAAAACTCCAATTTCTTACCAAGAGTCCAAAACAGAACATGATCTAATGAAGTCTTAAATGAGGAGTCTAACAAGCATGCCTAGATAAAAATCACATTGTTCAGTTTTACAAGGTTGCCCTGTTATTCCTGCCAGACTCCAGGTGCATTTGAATGTAAACTTAGTTAAGCTGACTTTAAAATTGCGTACTTTCATTGAGTACAAAGAGAAAAAAAAGAAAATTCGAACATATAGAGTCTCCCCTCACCCAGGATGAAGTGGGCAAATGGGCAGCCAGGACCACAAACCAAGTCCCGGGGAGATGTTGCAACACTGGCTTCTAAGGTTGCGGGCACCCTCGTCATCAGCAGGAAGGAGGCCAGAATCGCACTGGCCCAAAGCACGGAATCATGCTGAAGACCAGCTCACTGAAGGCCAGCTCTGCAGACCCCGGTCCTGACGGCTCCTCTAGGTGGCCCACCAGACAGCATCACCAGCACTCCCAGCCCTGAGCTGACAGCCCCTACAGCTCAGTCCGCACATGTCCATGGGTCAACTTCCGAGCATTCAAACCACTGCCCCTCTTAAAATAACCTCAAATCCCTAACGGGAATCAAGGTTAAGTGGAAAGTTCTACAACGCTCCTACTTGCCTGCTACCTCACTCCCATTTTATGACCAAACCGCACACAGTTTCAATAGGCGCTGCCAGGAACCAGTGCTGTGGCTCGGAGGGCTGTCCCGGCCTGCAGCTCCGACATCCCAGAGCTCCAGTCCCAGTCCTGGCTGCTCTGCCTCTGATCCAGCTTCCTGTTAAGGTGCCTGGAAAGGCAGCAGAGGACAGCCCAGGTACACGGAGCTCTGCTACCACCGCACGGGGCCCCTACATGCACTTCCTGGTTTGAGTTTGGCCTGGTCCAGCCTTGACTGTTGGGGTCATTTGCAGAATGAACTCCATGAATGAGATATTTTTTTTTCCCTCCCACTTTCCCTCTCCTTCTCTCTCCCTCCCTTGTTTCTTTCTTTCTTCCCTTTCTTTTTCTCCCTCCCTTTCCCTCTCAAATAAATGGAAAATATATATTTCTAAAATAGACTTTAACACTCAGCTTCCTGTAGCACTGGGGGGAAGCCTGTGACGACACCTGAGGACTCAGTGCATGCCCTCTGCTACACTGTGCTTGATTCTGCAAGGGGCGTGGCACACTCAGCACCCAGAAAAGAGCCTTCCAGGTGGTTCTGCAGCTCCTGGAACCTGCAGCTGCCCACCAACTGGCAGACTATGCAGTTTGTTCACAGCTGACTGCTCACAAACTGCACACAGGCTAGCCACGTGCTAACTTCAAGATATGTGAGCAGACTGCAAAGACAAAATAAAATAGAGATACAGTAAGAATCCTGTTCTGGTATTACCTACAAATTCCACCCAGGATTACTGTGCCTGTCCCTCCCTCACGGGGGAATCTGTATACCTTGGAGGGGGAGGAGAAGCCACAGAGCAAAGGTGCCACCGGGCTGGGCAGCCGACAGGAGCCCGCACCCACTGCAGTACCGGCAGCGAAACACAGCCCAGGTGGGATGCCGGAAAGCCTCCCTCCGCCACAGCTCACTCTGCCTGAGGACCTTTAGCTCATGCATCCCGCAGGAATACCAGGGGTCCTGCCTTCCTCCTGCAGCACGGGGAGTACAAGCGACAACACCCTCTTTCTATGGCACTTTCTAAATGGCCTGAAGCAATAAAAAGTATTTGAAAATAAGATGCTGTGTACCATCTATTCTGAAGTACATCACTGGGGAACCGCACACACTCCTGAAACATGAGGCACTCAGACTGCGTGGCCTTTTGCATGTCAACACATGCTCTGACTATCCCGCCTCGGCAAGGCACTTTCCAAAGGAGGATGACAGTGACCTTCCAGAAGCTTCTGCTGCCCACTACCACCCTGCCCAGGTCCAGGACACTGGATTTCCAGATGCAGCCAACAGGCCCCTTCTTGCCCCTTCTGTGTTTGCAGCCGCACGTGCACTGACCTGCTCCTTCTTCTCCACTCAGGTCCCACACCCAGCAGTTCTCAGGAATGAGGCTCTGCCAAGGGCACTCTCAGCCCACAACCCTTTCACTGCCAGGACCAGGAACCAGCATCCTTCCTGGGGGCATCCCTCCTTGCTCTCCCATGGGCATGAAAAGAACTTACAGTAGCTGCTGCAAGACTTGAGGCCATTTCTCTTTCTCTTCCCTTGGCCCCCAGGTGCTTAATGCTTTCGAACAGAAACAAAATCACCAAGTCAAACATTGACTTCCTTCACAGGCAAGCACCAGCAGCCTAGTCCTGTCCCGTTACTTTAAAAAGCTGAGAGCTGTGACAGCCACCAGCAACCTGTTGCACAGAGCAGAGCCCGAAACCTGAGCAGCCACAGACCTGGTTCTGCAACTGTGCTGATGGCTCTGATCAGATCTGACACCTGCAGCATGAATAAAGTGTTCGGCTTGACGGAAGGTGAGAAAACAAGCCAGGGGTGCCTTGCCTGCTCCACCCATGCACTGAACAGTAACTATGGTCCAATTTAACATTTCCACTGACGCTTGAGCACACTGAACATGGGGGCGGGGAGTGGGCTACTAAGAGGCCGAACTTACTAGAATCTCTACCTGTGACCCACTCTTGGCCAGTGTCTCAGGGATTAGAACTGGCAACTCGCCAATGTGTCAGACACACATTTCTGAAAACCTAGAATCCCCACCTCTTCTGCCCTCCAGCCAGCGCCTTCCACCATCGCCACCTCACCTACTTCTAGGGACCAGGTCACGTAGCTGGCCACCACTTCACACTTAGAATCGCATGCCTATTGTAAGGCAAGGCTCCCTCACTGCTACACGGCGAGGCAGAGGCTACATCTTGGTTACATTGTAAGAACAGGTGAAGGGAAACCCTGGCTCCGACAGTCTGCGGCAGGCTCCCACGGAGTTCGGGCTTCTTCTATCTTTCTTTCTAGTTTGGAAAATTAGACGCATGCTTTACAAAAATCATCTTCTAAAACAATCTTTGTTTGGAAAAAAAAAAAAACTGACTTAAGCGACAGCAAATTTTCACTGATGCCGGAAAAGTTCAGAAAAAGAAACACTTAGATTGTACTAATAGACTTCAAGGGAAATATAAATTCTTATGCCTTCTTAATTGTGTCTTTCTTATACCCTCTTAATAAATTTTATATATCTTAATCTAAAACTCAAATTTTCATTTAGACACTTTAATAACTTCTCAAATGAAAACATCGGTGGACAAATCTTTACGTATTAATTGCAACATAGTTAATGATATGAATAGCTCTATAAAATTATTTTTGAGGGCTACTGGGCTACCTGCAATTGATGCAAATACTACCTATTTCATTTCAATCTGTGAGATCTGAGGTTCGGAGTGGGTGCTCATGGATCAGTAGCCAGCCGCTCACAGGCAGAGTAAGAATCCTGCAGACGCAGTGTTGAAGCACCCACAAAGACAAACCACCGAAGCCGGCGTCACCAAGCTTCACCCCAGACGCGCTCTGTGAGCAGCCCAGCATGGGCTGCCGGCCCTGTGCAACTTCCCACGGGAGCCGCGACGGCAAACCACCCAGCACGCAGGGGACCCGGGCTCCCCTCAAACATGTCTGTTCAATTCCGTCGGAAACTACTTCCAGCTGAAAGGCCGGAACAGTTTCTCAACACGCTCAATACTATGAGGCCATTAGCAAAACACTGGACCCGGCAGCTTGCTGGGACAATGGACACTGCTGAAAAAGCATCTATTAGTCATTCTAGACAAACTCATCAGGAGTAAAAGAATGACCTAAGACCGTCTCAGGACACAGCTCACGAGAAAGAGACAGAGAGAAAGATAACCCAAAGACTCCCTGTGTTTGAATCTGGAGAACCTTCCCCTGGGCTTCTCGGCGCGTGGGAGGCAAGGACCAAAACAAGCCCGAGCAGCCTCGCTCTTAGCTCCCCTTGCCTGCTGCACCTCCTACAGCGATGGTTTCCTGGCTCAGTTTGGGGGCAAAACACGCGGCCTTCCTGCGCGACTCCCAGAGCGGCTGCCACTGTCGCAGTCCCCGGGGCTCTTGCCCAAGGAGGGCCGAGCGCGCAGCTCCCCCGGCCCGGCCGCTCCTGAGGTGCCCGGCCCCGGGCAGGGGCGGCAGACGTGGGGAAGTCTTCCCCGTGGGCCGGCAAGGCCCAGGTCACGGCAGCCCTGCCCCTCCCCGGCACAACGCAGACGGGTGCGAGGTGGCGGGCAGGCGCCCTCCAAGGGGCTCCCCGAAGGCGCCGGGCTCCGCTCGGGCGGGCGGGCGGCTCACCTGGCGCTGGAGGCTGGAGGGCGCCGTCTCGGTCCTCCGGAGCCCGGCCCGGCAGCCTCGCGCCGTCCGCGGAGGGGCTGAGCCCCGGAAAGGCCCAGCGCGGGCCGTAGGGCGCCCCGGCGGGGCACAGCTTCAGCGGGACCGGGCTGGCGGGCAGGGCCCGGGGGGCGCCCGCGCCGTGGGGCGGTGGAGGCGGCTGTCCGAGCATCGGAGCGCCGCCTGCGCGCAGCAAGTTCTCGATCAGAAAACTCCTGCCCAGGTGGCCCACGGCCGGCGCCGCGGGAAGGCCGAGGAGCACCGAGGGCGCCACCGCGTCCCAGTAGGCGCCGGCGTGGGCCGCCACGGCGCTGGGCAGCATCGCGCGGCGCCCGGCTGCCGCACGCCCGGACCCCGAGCCGCGCCGGGCCGCCGTCTCCCGCAGGGCTGAGCGCGCCGGGAGGAGGGCGCGGGGAGGGCGGGAACGGCGTTATTTATCGGCCCGGGGCGGTTTTGGAGGGGGTGGGCGGAGTGGGGCTGGCGGAGCGGGGGTGCGCCAGAGATGGGGTCTCTCCCGCTCGCAGCGTGGGTGCGGGCGGTTGCAGGTTGGGGTTTTGGTTTGTTTTCTTTTTCCCAGAAGGGTGGAAGGTGTGTCTTGCCCATCCATTCACATCCGCCGGATCGCGAAGCCGGGCCAACCGTGAGGGCCGCCCCAAGAGTCCATAGGGTGGCCAGGATGGGGACTCGCGGCAGGAGGAGGGGCGTGGAGGCCCCGGGCGCGCTGGGCTCTCTCCGCGTCCACCTGTTGTCGGCGCGGCTGAATGCCGCTGTGGCACGCGACCTCTGTGTGAGACGTCACCTTTTAAGAACAGTTGGCGCTCTGACTGAGGTCCCTCCGCTCTGAGAGCTAAGGTGGACCTTTCGGGACTTGTTTCCACGACTTGGTGACCTGATCCCAGAGACGAAGGATGCTGGCGAGAGCCCTTGGCGCCTGCACGTGGAAAGGCAGGCTCTCGGGAGGTCCGACCTGGAGGGGACAGGCCGGGAAGAAGCCCCTGTGTGCGCAGTGGGCACACCCGATAGGGGGGCTTTAAGGGATGTGCTGGGTCACGTGGGACTGCACCGGCTGCTTTGCTCCCCCGGTGTCCACCGATTTTAACGTGATGAGCAGTTTGCTAAGAAACAATTGGTCAGATGAAGAAGCATAGAGAAGTGGACAAGTAGATGTTAAAAGGTATCCTTTTAAAGATTTATTCATGGGCCCGGGCGGTTGCCTAGTGGCTAAGGTCCTCTCCTTACAAGCACCAGGATCCCATAAGGGCACTGGTTCTAATCCCAGCGGCCCTGCTTCCCATCCAGCTCCCTACTTGTGGCCTGGGACAGTAGTAGAGAATGGCCCAAAGCCTTGGGAACCTGGAAGAGGCTCCACTCTCCTGGCTTCAGATCAGCTCAGCTCTAGCTGTTTTGGCCGCTTGAGGCGTAAACCAGTGGATGGAAGATCTTTCTTTCTGTCTCTGCTCCTCTGTGTACATCTGACTTTCCAATAAAAATAAATCAAAAAGAAAAAAAATTTATTCATTTGTTTTGATAGTCAGAGAGGGCAAGATCTGTACTCTGGTCCCCTTTCCAGATGACCTCAACTTAGGCCATCTTATGCTGCTTTCCCAGGCCGATAGCAGGGAGCTGGATGGGAAGTGGGAAAGCTGGGACTCTAATTGGAGCCCAAATGAGATCCCCACACCGCAGGTGGAGGCTTTAGCCACTATGCCACAGCACCCACCCTAAAACTGCTTCTGACCACAGGAAACTTTAAGAGCTTCTCACCTTGGAAAACCAGCAGGGCTCTTTAAATGTTCGTGGGGAATGTGTATCACAGGAAAAAGAAAGTATGCATGGATTTCAAAGTGTTCACACCAAATCAATGTATCTGCCCATCACATTGTCCTCAAGCCATGGGTGCTGACACCGTGGCTTCTCTGCTGATACTTGGCATTATTCTCCAAACTTAGACTCATCAATTTGATAAGGCCTTTTAAGGATTCTGCAAAACTCGGGGTCACGTGTTTGGTTTCCTTTTTACTCTGAGAATAATTTGGCTTCTGGCTTCAGCTTGCTTAGGAGACGCAGGAGCTGCGTGAGTGCGATGGTTTGGTTTCATCAGCACTAGCTCTGTCCGTAGCTTGGGGAAGGTCCGACCTTGCCAAAAGGAGCCCAGGTAAAGTGTTTGACCTTATTTTACACTGTGAAGGGCATTTCTTCCACCTCGTACTGAGCAGCAGGAAGTGGGCGCCTCTATTCCAGCACCTGCTAGCTGAATGTGCAGACCAACAGTGGTCCCGGGCACAGGAAAGAGGGCAGCGGTGCCATCCCTGCCTGGTGTGGACAGAAAACAAGGACCCTCTGGGAAAGGTCCTCTGACTCGGACGGAAACGTCTGGGTGAGTCCCTTGGGGTTGGCAGCTGGGGCTGGGAAGTGAAGCAGGCACCCCTGGGATGACAGGGAAGGGACAGACGGGATGGTGGTGGCTGTCGTCCCATGGCATAGTCACTGTATGGCCCCCATACCGACGCCCAGCTGGTGCAGCGCTAGGCACTTGGTGCATATCCATGCACTGTGCATCACACACTAAGAGAAGGTCGCCACTGATGGGCCCAGTGCCCCTGAAGGAACACACAGAGTGTCAGTAATTGTCCTACGCCCAACCGACAGCCCCAGTGGGAAGACCAAGTCCTCACTCTTAAGCATGGAGCCCAGCTCTCTCCCTGCTCCTGAACTTGGTCCCACGCTGGCTCCTGAGCTCTTGGTGAAGCAGAAAAAAAAGAAAGTAGGTTTGAAACTCCTCTACCTGGCTCATCAGCTGCTTGTGCAGAGGGGTTTCTCTGAGTCCCTTGTGTCCCTGCCTGTTGGACTCTGGGCCTGGCTGTGTGACTTGTGGCGGCCTGGGACAAGCACTTGGGCATGTACACCTCCTTCTGTGGACTCCTGCAGCTCCTGTGGGGGCAACGTTGGGGCCACCAAGGACCAAGAGGCTAAAAGGAGCTGAGCCAGAGCATCCCGGGATCCCAGCTGAGCAGCCCCGGAGCTCCTGAGAAATGAACAAGTCCTTGAGGTGAAGAAGCTGGACACTCGGAAGTCACTTACCTGTGTTGATTACCATTTCCGTGTTGGTAAAAGGATTTCATCCCTGTGCATACAGCTGTTACAAGGTCTAAACGGGATGATGCATTCACAGTGTTGTGCTCATTCGGTGCCATCTGAAAGGGAATTGAGTGTGATCACTACTAATGTGAGGTTAAAGATGAGGGTCCCTGCTGAGAAGGAGGCCAAGGGGGCAGGGCCACTTGAGTGAGCAGAGGGGACTGGGCGGGGCAGGGGGGTCTGCAGGAACCACTCTGCATGGCACTGCAGAGCTGCTATGATCTACTGGAATCAATGAGGAAGACAAGATACGCAAAAGCCATTTCGTTGCAGATCTTCAAAGACCATGTGGCCTGTGGTGATCCTAAAAGAATGTCCCAAAATGGAACATGTCAGGGTCACATGGAGCAGAACTAAGAGAGCAGGTGGTATGGGACAGGAGGAGGAGCGTGCAGGGATGGGAGAGGGCCCGCAAACCTGCTGACAGGCTGCAGAAGTGGGTGGCATCGTGTCCAGAGGGAGTGGCCCTGTGTGTCTTTTAGAAAGGCAACTCCTGTTGTGACGTGGAGACCACCTTCAGATCTGAAGACACCAACTGGCACGCAGTGCAGTGACTCGGGCAAGATCCCTGTGGCTTTGCAGCAAGCACAGAGAGGGCAGGAGCGGCCAGGGCCCCTGGCAGCTGTGAGTGCAGCATGGGGAGACCTGCCCAGTTTGTGTCCCAGTGGGGTTCCGCTGGGAGAGACAGAGTTCTCTGGGCAGCTCAGTGCTCACTCCTCTCTTCCTGTCCCCCAGGCTGGGCTTAGGTCCTCACTGAGGACGCCCTGTGCGGGTGACCCTTTGCTAGTGCACTGGGAACAGGGCTGCAGTGAGGGGGCATTGCGGACTTCCTGCCTGAGGTGCCCAGTGAGGCGCAGGCAGCACTCCACCCCTGTGCCCCGTGTGTGGCCCGACAGTGAACCTCAACAGTGTCTCACCCACAGGCTCTGCAGCCCCTGGGCTCTCATTCCAGTCCTAATGTTGCTTTCTCTCCAAAAAGACAAAAGCATGTAAAGAAGAGTAGAGCAAAATGGGAGTAGGACGGCACGCCACCCTGCGACGTTACTGGATTGAACTGACATAATCCCACACTCCCTTCAGTAGCTTCATTTCCTCCCTGCCCATCTCCCCTGCACTCCTGGGTGTCAGAAGCACCAGCTCCCAGAGGCATCCAGGGTCATCTCCTGGGTGTCAGAAGCTCAGCTCCCAGAGGCATCCAGGGTCATCTCCCAGCCGGGCGGTGGCTCCTCTCGCTGCCCATCTCCCCTGCACTCCTGGGTGTCAGAGGCACCAGCTCAGCTCCCAGAGGCATCCAGGGTCGTCTCCCAGCCGGGCGGTGGCTCCTCTCGCTGCCCTACTTTGCCAGCGCAGGTCCTCCCTGGCCCGCCCGTTGGCTCTGAGTTGCTGGGCACGTCTTGGGCCTCAGCTGCCGTCCGTGCCCTGCATTCTGCCTTCTCCCGCTGTTGACTGACTTTCTGTGGTCACTAGGAGACTTCCTGGTTTGCTTCCAGGCCATTCAGTTCCTGGGCATTACTTGCTCATTGATCATTGCTCACCACTTCCCCTGCTTGGTCCAAAGTAAAGTGTGAAGTGACTGGAAGATTTTGAAGAAGTTCCTCCCGCTGCTGCCCAACAGCCCTCCTTTCAGCTCTGGTCATTCTCCGTGTGTCTCCAAAGCCACAGGTGCCTCTCCTGCACGTTGACATCCTGCAAGCTGCTCTCATTCGACATTCGACAGACACAGAAGCATAGCAGCAGACTGCTTTATGGATTCTGTCGCATCCAAAGTACACCTTAGATGGACGGACATGGCACGGTGTGTTCAACGTTTTCTGCCCACGCTGTGAGGTCATGCAGGGCAGCTGTGCCCCAAGGCTGAGTCCAGCTCTAAGGCCAGAATTACGGTATAATGCCCTTTGCCTTTTATCCATGTGATTTTCCAGTTTCTAGAAACTGACTGAAATCTCTTTTTACACTTAGTTTTTTCTCTTTGTATTTATGCATATACTCATATATGTGTGTATATTTCAGGTATATATCCAGATATATATTAAATGTAAATTAGGCTTTATAGCTTCCTTCTAAAAATTTTCATCTTCAAATGTATTGTATCTAGTTTATCTAAGCTTTGTTTGCAATACTATTTTCCAGGTATATATATATTTTAAAGATTTATTAAAGCTACACAGAGACGAGGAGAGAGAGAGAGGA